CTCCACAGAGCCCTCCTCGTCGCCATTGTCGCCGATGCCGCTCTGCAGGAAGCTGAGCATGCTCTTCTGCTTGACCCGCTTCTTGGCCTCCTCGTTGGCCTTCTTCTCGGCCTCCAGCTCCTTCTTGGTCTTCTTGGCCACCACCTCGCGAGTGCCCCACGAGACGACATTCAGATTGATGATCGAGTAGAGGATGAGCAGCAGGTACATGGACGGAATGGACAGCAGGTAGATCAGGCCGCAGGTGATGCACCAGAACTCCTGCGGATGCAAACATGCGGCTATGAAGAACGAGCCCACCATCGATATCAAGAAGATGGCCGAGGGGGAGCCTATCCCGTCCTCGCCCAGCTGCAGGGCCGTGCCCACGATCACCGCCATCATAATGAGCGCATACGCCGTGGACAGCACCTGGGCCACGAACAACTGGATGTTGGACTTGCAGGTGAAGCAGATGAACATGAAGGCCAGAATCGGAACGATGTTGTAGTGGAAGGAGGTCCAGTTGTCGATGCGGAACGCCGCCACGAAGGCCCCCACCAACATGAGGAAGATGGTGCCGGGTCCCAGGATGGTGCCGCCCATCAACATCATCTGGTAGAAGATGTACAGCAGCGAGATGTTGTCGTTGATCTTGATGGTGCGCTTCGCGTCCGCCAGCAGGTCCATGATGTTGGCAATGGTCGAGGGCACCCAGCGACGTCGCTGGTTGTAGAACTCGTTGAAGCCCTCCGGACAGTGGGTGTAGGCGTCACTGGCAGCCGAGTACTCCACCCGATAGCCGCGCTGGAGCAGCAGGGTGCACAGCCAGCGATCCTCGCCCTGATCGTACTGCACGTAGTGCCGGGCCTCGTCCGACCGCGTCGTGTACTTCTTCATCACGTTGTCGTCCATCAGGGCCTTGCCGCGGAAGAGGGAGAAGCAGCCGGGGGAACAGAGCACACAGCCGATCATGTGCTCGGTGGCCTTCTGGAGCCAATGGCCGATCGCGTACTCGAACAGCTGGTACCACACCATGGGCCCAGAGCCCACCGGGTGGATGCGGCCACAGGCGGCGCCCAGATTCTTGTTCTTCTTCATCAGATCCACCAGCAGGGTGACCGCGTTCGGCTTGAAGTCAATGTCTCCGTCCAGGGTCAGCAGGTAGGTGTTCTCCGCAATGGCGTCCTTGCGATCCACCGATATGGGCAGCTCCATGAGGCGGTGTCCCAGCAGGTAGTACATGTACATGACCTGCGACCAGCGCTTGCGGTGCCGAATGCGGTCCTTGTCCTTCAGATGGGTAATGAACTTGGTCTTGCCGGGCAGTGTCCACACGAGGCGACCGCCGTACGGGGTGGGGTACTTCTTGGGCGGACGCAGCCGTATCGTGGTCTGATGTATGTCCGAGGCTGCCTCGTCCATGGTGGCGATCAGCAGCTTCACGAATCGGTTGCACTGGATGTCGTCGTCGCTGTGATCGGAGATCTCGAAGGCGTCGTCGAAGAAGATGTGAGCTGCAAGAAAGGGTTAGTCAAGGGTTAGTCTCCATCGGTGCGGGACTGAGATCTGAGATCTCAGACCGATTTCGGACTCACTCTCAAACTCGTAGTAGTCCGGGTCGAGAACTCGCAGATACTTCTGGGCCACACGGCGCGCGCACTGGTCCTCGTCCATCCGCATGATGCTCTTCAAGAACTCGATCATCTCGTCCCGGGTCTCGTGCCACATGGTGGCGCACGAGTAGATGCGGGTGATGTTGTCCGAGGACTTGATCGAGGGCTTGTTCGGGGCGGAGGAGCGGTCGGTGTGCACGGAGATGGTTTCGTAGTACTCGTCGCCCTTTTCCTTTTCGATCTCCGACAGATCCTCCGTTTTCACGTCCGCCTGGTCGTCGCGCCGCCGGTTGAGGGCCATCGACTGATCGATCAGCAGGGAGGAGTACATGGGTTTCACGAAGAGCTTCTCGGTGGTGGCCAGGCGCTCGCACTTGGGCGTCCAGATGTGCAGGGCTATCCAGGTCTGGCTGAGGAGCCACAGGATCCACGCCCAGGCCATTTGCTCCGTCACAAAGTTGTTGAAGCGGAAGTTCGAGGGACTCGTGAAGAACAAGTAGTCCGGTATGGTGTCGTGGAAGAAGCACGGATCGTCGATGCGGATGCCACAGACGGAAATGAGCAGGGAGACGGCCAGGGGCACGGTTAGGCTCACGGGGAAGGCATAGCTGAAGCCCTGGATGAGGATCTTGCACGCGAACTTGCCAAAGATGTAGCACAGATAGGCGCCAAAGATCTGCAGGAGCAGGACATAGACCACCGTATTGTAGGCGGCGTCCACCTCGACCGTGTCTATGTTGGCCGACTCCAGGGTATCGGGCAGGACTCCGCCCAGACCCGCTGGCAGCTCGTAGACAATGATCTTGTGCGGCCCGAAGGCGTCGCCGTACATGGCGAAGAGATTGCCGGGCTCCTCGCCCTGGGCCCAGTAGATGAGCAGGGTGAGGCAGAAGAAGAGCAGGATCTTCCAGATCGTCAGGAACATGTGACAGAAGTAGCGCGTGTAGCGCATCTCCTCCTTGATGCGCCCCAGGGCCCGCACCAGGCCCAGGGACGACTGCGGCGACACGTAGTTCTCCCACCAGCCGCACGAGATCATCACACAGGCCACCGGAATGACCCACAGCTCGCGGCGATTCTCCAGCAAGGGCCAGATGACGAGACCGGTCACCTGTGCCGCCACGGCCGCCAGATCTATGATGGCCTTGACGAACCGCTTGCCCTCCTTGGAGGTGCGCGAGAGCAGGCCAAAGATGCCCGGGATCACGCACAGGCAGTTGGTAAGCATCGCTCCCTGGATGGCGTCGATCTGGGGCAGCACCACGAACATCAGCAGCGCCGTCCCCATCGCATTGAAGCTCTCCATCAGCCAGACGAACAGAAAGTGCCCCGTCTTGGGCACCTTGAAGGTCTTGAAGAAACAGATGCGCGCGGAACGAATCAAGGCCCCGATCTCGGGCAGAGCATAGGCTATCATTATAGCCCAGATCCAGGCCACGCGCTCCTCCTCCGGCAGACGCACCACAAAGGTTTTGTCGCGTCCCTAGAGGGGGTAGGCGAAAGGGATGCATTAGCTGGGCATCGAAAGGGCCTTGGGATAGATGGGGGTAGACGGACATACCAAATCTTTGTTGCAGTACTCCATCTTCTTGTCCTTCCTCACTTGCGAGGTCATGAAGAGCATGGTGCCCTTGGCTATGACGCCTCCGGTTAAAACTATGATAAACGTAATTATATAGGCAAAGATCTTTAGGATCTTGATGGTTAGCTCCAGACACTCCTGATTCGCCGTCGATCCAGTTTCAATTTTGATCGGCGGATCCCGGAAGACATCCCAACCCTTTGTTTCTTGTATCGTGCGCTGGCTGAAAGGATTGAACATATGAACATATTGACAGATGGGAGATGACATGCTGAACAGCAGTTGGATCAGGGATTAAAGATCCCTGATTCTGCCAGAAGGATGGGAAGTTAACTCGACTCGATCTTCCCCTCCGCTTATTACGATGACCGCACACTGGGCTTTTCCGGGCTATACTCGTACGATCTTCACTTCCGGCATTTCATTGCCTCGACTCGACCCCGCCCAGCTCTGAAAGTGATGGTGAAACAAGAGCCAAGACACAGCCAGAGCCAGAGCCAGAGCTGGAGGGGCTAATTATGCTCCGAGTGCTGCTGGTGGTTGTTGGGGCCTGAGACACTTTAGTTCCGGCTGTCTCTTCGGCTGTGTGTTGCGTTGCTAGTTCCCCCCACCTCCACCTCCACCTAGCCAGCAATTTGCATACATTTTGGGGGAGAAGACCAAGACAAGACCAAGACAAGACAAGACCTACCTGCCGCCGTATATATCGTGTGTCAGTGGCGAGCTCTCGTCGTCGGTGAAGTTGTTGTCATCGCTATCGCCATGATCCCCGGGCGCCCCGGCAGCGGCCCCGACACCCGGACCTGGCGGTGCCATCGGACGATGCCGCATTGCAGACATCTCCCACGGTTGCTGCTAGCCCCGTGCCCCGTGCTGGCCCAATCTTGGAGTGCGAGTGGAGATGGCTCTGCAAATATGTGCGAGTCTGTACGAGAGCTGTGCTGTGCTGTGCTGTTGCCTGCAATGAGTCGGAGAGTGGAAAATAATTGAGCTGAGCCAAGTCGCTGATGTCGATGTCGTGGCTCGATAAGCCGGTTTTAATGGATATGCAATTTATGGCCATACAATGGCCTGTGGACTGTGGACTGTGGTCTCTGGCCACCCCAAGGACAAGCGTCCTTTGACCCAACCAGTCGGCATGCGGTACGGCATACCGGTTTAGGTCCGGCTTGAACCTTGAGAGCCTCTTTCAGCTGGAGTCCAGCTATTACACGACTCCAATTAGTGAGTCATCTGTTCAACAATTCAGACTCTTCTCCAGGCCAGTTCCGTCCAGTCCAGTTCAGAGTTTTCCCATCACAATTTCACTTTCACTTTGGTAATTTTAGCTTAAAGTTAATTTGGAAAAATGGTTTGGGGCTGCTACAGCTACAGCTACACACGTAAGCCTCATGCGCAACTTTACGCCGAGTCTTGGATTCGGCTCGGACACGCCTCAGTTGTTCCACATGTGGCACGGAACTCATGCTGCCTCTGGGGCTCTTTATTCGGTTTCTTGGAGTGTGTGTGTGTGTGTTTTTTTATGGTAATTAAGTACGATTGCTCGTCTGACTGCCAGTTGCAGCTTGCAAGCCCACCCCTGCTCTGCTGCTCGTATTGTTCTGTGCCAGGGAAGGCCTTGTGCCAGATTCTGGTCCGAGTGCAATATTTATGATTATGTGGCAAATTGAAGATGGTATTCCAATTGGTATTGGCATGGTATTGGGGCGATGCGATGCTGGTACGGACCTAACATCGGAAACTATCCAGAAGAAGGAACTTCCATTCAGGAATGAGATGAGATGAGATGAGATGAGATACACGTATCGACAATTTATTAATTCATTGAAGATCAATCACAAACACAGACTTGAACTATTTATTCTCCTCAATCAATTTTGATTACAAAGGTGCAGAACATTGCTTAAACTGGAACGTAAGACTGCCTTTGTAAGCAACACTTAAAGAAGATAACTGTCGGGGGCAGTCCCTACCCTACTCAATATACTGCTGTGGGAAAGTCATAGAATATGTCAGATGAATGTGCGGAGAGTTCCTTAGACTTGGCCCTATCCGTACGGGCCACTGAAGTGCTTGCTGGAGCGTTAGTTGGATCAGTTTTTGGAGCATCTACTGAAGAGGGTGGCAGAACGTTGGCTTCTGGACTTTCAGTTGGGTGGGCAAACCTCTGCCGGAGTTTCCTGGATATTTGCTCGGGAAGTATCGGACTTTTGCAGCCTTTGACCAGCTTTTCCATTAGCTTATTCGATAGCTCTATGGGTGTTACGATATTCTTGCAGATGATTGGTGGATTGGATGTGACTTTTGGTTGCGCTCCTCCTCGTTTTCTTGATTGGATTGGACGCTTGAGAAGCTTGGACATCCTACTAGTAGACGGTCCCGCATCGTCAGAGGAGTCTGAGGGTTTTTCGTCTGGAATTTGGTTCTTGTTGCTGGCTCGAGCTCCGATTTCCGTGGCGGAACTTTGCTGGGATCTGTGTCTGCTGTCCATGCTGAGTGTCACCACCAGATTGGATCGCTCGTGCCTGAATTTGCCTTTGAGTATATCCAGATCCTGCAACAGCAGCCGGTCGGCTGGCTGCAGCGACCTCTTGGAGGTTATTTCGCGCATGTCTCTGGTAATGGATACCTCGGCCATGAAAACCTTCACCAGCCGCTTCATGTGCGCATCGAACTGCCGATCGGTGAGCACTACCGCCTTGGACCTCGCCTCCACCGGGCGGAAGCGAGCACCCACCACGTCCTCTGGCTTTATCCGACTCTTGAGCGTCAGCGGCGGAAGCCGGACTCCGCCATCGCTCTCCAGGTCCCCACTACACACGTGTGCCACGTCGAAGCTCTTGGCAGCTGTTGCGGGAGATATCTTCACAATTTTCGGGTTCTTCAACATGGTATTTTTGTTCTTTGCGGAGATCTTCATAATTTGGCGGGGAGTAAACTTTTGGCAAACTTCAAGAAATTATTTTTTAGAGAGGGAAAAGCGTGAAATTTTGGAACCAGTAAAAACTGTTGGTTTGCTAGATCTAGAGTGTATTCGAGAGACTAACTTGACTCAGAAATAGTTGATTAACTTGGGAATTGTAAGCAGAATTTAGGGAGAATCGGGAGGGATGTGGCAAACATTAGACAAATCTCAAATAAAACAACAATTCCACCTTGGCAATTGGCTCGCGATATTACATTTCAAAGCCTTGCCATTATAAATGGATATGCAAAATTGGGTACAGCCGAAGGGAAAGTATAGAAAAAGAGGTGTAGAAGAAGGACAAAAGAAGGACGTAAAAGTATTCCACATAAATACGTACTGGAAGCCGAAACAGCTGAAATCAGATGGTCTGCAAAGAAGAACAGCTGACTGCTCGAGGGATGCTGTGGGGTCGGTCTGGTCTGCAACAGGCCGCCCAGTCAAGGATTCTGCGCAGAAGGAAGGATGAACCACCCCCAGTGGACGGCACTCGGTGTCATCCACCCTCAAGAAGCAACGCACAATCTGGGTGGGTGGCTCGGGAGTGGGTGCGGTGCGAGTGTGTGGGCTAGGGTGGTTCAGAGGCATGTGTGAGTGGGTGAGTGGGTGGGTGGGTGTTGATGCTTTCGTGGCAAAAGCGTAGAGGTGTGGCGCCCGTTTTGCGCTTTTTAGGGCAGGAACTAACGTGGCGTTACAACAGGACCGTGTGGCCTAAAGGATAAGGCGTCGGACTTCGAATCCGAAGATTGCAGGTTCGAGTCCTGTCACGGTCGTCTGCTCAACCTTTTTGTTGTGCGGCTTCCACTCACTCCACTCTGACTTTTACGCATTGGAATTTATGTCTGATTTGCTGCTTAAATTTTGATTTAATCACTGCCGTGGCATAATTTAGCATCTCGTTTGCTGGCAATTGGTAAATCATCTCCTCAACCTCGCTCCCCCTCCTCCTCCTCCTCCTTCGGCTTCAAATCAAAATCGAAACCCGTTTAGTCTGCGATGTTCGACTCTCGACTCTTTGGCAATACAAAAATGCGAAATCAATTTGATATGGGAAAAAACAGACACATATATACGAGTATATGCAATTGAGCAACCAACAGTCGGCAGACGCAGACGTCAGTCGGCAAAAAAAAAAACCGATTAAGTTGCCCCACTGCCAATGTGAATCCAACAGAAATCTTGACTTCTCCACACAGATGCCTCCCTTAAATGTCAAATGTCCACTAGAATGGTTCTCCTCCACTGGTCGAACTTGCATTTCTACACTGTTTTTCATTCTTCATCGTTGGATTTGTATTAGCCATAGAAGAAGCTGCGATTCGGTAGCTTATCTCGAGCCATACTCGAATGAGCACGGGGGACGGCTAAATACAGTTTCGAGTTATCACTTTTAAAAGACAAATGGCCACATTTAGCCTGAACCATATAATGAGACATTTATCTGAGTAGCTGAGTAGTGGAACACAACCAGAATTAATTGTTTAATTAATACATCAAAAGCGGATTTAGCGGAGATGTTAAATGTTGAACAAAGAACAGCAAAAACTCTGCGACATTCTAAATGACATTTAGAAACATTTCTTGAATGCAATTGAACTGGAAATTCGGTTAGCATTCCCATTCTCACCTAAATATCCATAAGATTCGTTTCATTTCCTTAAAGTTTTTAGTGGAAAACTTTCTTTGAAACAATTAATCCACTGTAAATCCATCAGTGGGAATATTTTGATTTCTGAATCTACACAAAGAACAGCTAGATGCCTCAAGAAAATAATAAACAGACATGAACTCTGATAACCCTTGGACAACCTCAACATGGAAACGACATGGTACTGTACTGGTATTCGTGGTACTTTTACCCACACACCAGGGGTACGTGTCTGCCATACCAAATATGACCTAAGCAGAGGAAAACTCAAGACTCGGACACACAAATAATTAAGTATTCATGTCAGTGCGATTAATGAAACACGAGGGCCAGAAAGATCGAGTCGAAAAAGGATTACACAGCCCACAATTAAAGCCAGAGAAACATACGAGTATATGAATTCTTGTAGATGTCTGATAGTGGGGTACATATTGTATATCGAACCGGTTGGACAGGAAGGCAAACGGGCAAACGCGCAAACTGGAGCGGGGGCCATGGACAGGGCGGGCCATGGATTGCGGCTCCATTGTGGGGCTACCCACAACAGACAATGGGGCACAGCTGCAGGCGTTTTGGCAATTTAATAATTTTCGTCTGTTGTAATCACATTAGCGCCTGTTTTGGGTGGAAGAGAGCGAGAGAGAGACGGGGAGAGAGGATTGTGTTTTGCAAAGTGAATGGCTATTGAAATAATGGACACATACCACAAGCCTAGCAGATACATACATAAGTATTCATAAATGTAGTATACATATGTACATACATATACTCCTATATCCGAATGAATGCTTTTTTTCGGTTTATTTTATGTTTGGGGCCAAGTCTCGTTACCCGCCAAAGAAGGCAAACAATTAAAACCCGCGCTCCACCAACAGACAGCAAGAAATAAAAAGTGAAAGTCCAGATACTTGTACAAATAAATGCTATAGAAAAAACTGTATACAATCTATGAGATACTTGGCCACAGATACAGATGCAGCCACAGCCACAGCTACAGGCCACAGCCACTGCTGTGTTGGGGCTGCAACTGGTGGCGCATAAATTGATTGCTACATTTAAGCCAACTAGTCAAAACGGGAACACGGCAATCGAATCGAATCGCATCGAACCGGCCCTGCCCTGCCCGGCCCGGTCCGGGCCACGCCAGGCAGCAGCTGCCGGACTGCTGTTTGGACAACCAGTTTTCGGTGGCCAACAGGAAAGGCAGTCGCCTCTTGGCCAAGCCAAGAAATATGCGCCAATAAGAGTAAAATTGTAGACTGCAATCGAAGCAAGCCGGAACGAACGACACTGGCGGTGACATGGCCAAGATGGGGAAGGCAGGGGGTGGGCAGGGGTTTGTTCCATGGGTGTGGGTTCAATGTGCAGTGGTCAGATCACTGGAATTGACCATTTAAGTTATTGATTTATGCATGCTACGGCTAGAGTGGCTGCGCTGCTGCCTGAAGGTTGTTCGCGATCTAAAAGCCAGGAATGCCACCTTGAGGGGATTGGCTCGCATGAATCAGAGGTACTTACTCGTATAGATCATTGGCTATACGAGCACTTCTGGAAATTAAGCTCAGTTAAGTTAAAGCAAAGCATGTGTTAAGGGATGATATATGTTTGATATATTCTATTTGTAACTACTTGCAACGCCGAATTGTTCAGTTTAAATGGCATATAAGACATATGAAAAATCGAATTGATACTTGATACGTGCAGACATTATCTATGGTTACCTATATATGTTATATAAATCAGGTTCTCTATAGGGAAGTTTCAATCCCCTTCATTTACTTTTAAATTTCCATTTAATGCTAATTAAACAAATATACAAAAGAATTCCAAACTTATAGACATTTAAACCAGCAAAAGGAAAATTGAGAATTGTTTGTAATATACATTCTGTATAAATAAAAGTAAAGCTGTCGTTAAGACGGAACTGTTATTGAGAAAGCTGCTGGATGGTGTTCCGCAGTAGCCCGCTATCCATGAACTGGTTTCCAATTGGTGTAAATTTTCTATCAAATTGAATACAATATGAACATAGAGTTTCAAAATGAGCTCAATGATGAATCATATAATAAAACGGGTCCAAAAGAACCCCTAAAAAGATATGGGACATTATTGTATCCCTCGCTAGTCATCGCAGAACCTACCTTACTCCTGGCTTCCCTTCTGCGCCATAAAAAAGACACTTTAACTTCTTGCCAACTCATTTTTTTAAAAGTTCCTTAAACTTGTTTTGTTTTTTCTGTTTTTTCTGTTGAGTATTTTACCGTTTTATCCGTGCAAATAATATAAAAAAACAACACAACCTTTCAAGCTGGAAGTGCGGCCAAATGATATGTGACTCACCAAAACATTTTTTGGGTACAACACAAGAGAGTCTTTTAACTTGCAATTTGTTGTTGGTTTTTAACCAATTAAAAGGCATTAAAATGCAAGAATTACAATACTATTTTCCGAGGGATTCATTTGGGAGACACACGCTCGAATGCGCGTATCCGTTGTGTGTGCATCTATAAATTGAATTCAAATTGATTCGATGTGATTTTGATTATGTGCAATGAGTCACAGTAGAGCTTAAGGTTTGGTTTTTACGTGATGCGTAACTCGAATCTCATCTTTCGTGCTTTTGACGGTTCATCTTGGGCTTTCGGGGTCTGAGAAAGATTTGATGACTAAATTGAAGGACTTATTCATGAATCCATCGATGAGTTGTCAAAATTAATTATTTAACATAGTTATCATAGGGAAAAATGATTTTGCCTTGATTTTGGGAAAAGGTGTTCCCCCAAAAACTTTAACATCAATTATGCTTCTTTTTAACGATGTTTGAGCACATTTTCTGAAGCTTGAAGTGAGAGAAAATAAATATTTGCTGTGGCTTTTGTTGGGCTGTGATCGAAGAGAGTAAACAGCAGATGAAGAAGCAAGAGATACAACAAAGAGAGACCGAGCCAGACCTCGAGACTGTGAGATGAAGGTGGAGGTGGAGGTGGAGGTGGAGGCGTGTCAACAAATGTGATTGAAAATGCCAAACAGATGATTTGGCAGCCATACGATTTGTGTATGTGTATGTGTCTGTATGTATGATCTGGAGAATATATTGGGATGAAAATAAGATTATTTCCTGAGAAAGAAGCACAGCGAAAAGCCCCCCAAAGTGTTAACCAGTCTCTGCTAAATGCCAAGAAAATGGTATGGTATGGTATGACTTGAGGTTCCGACTTGCCTTGCTAATTTAATTTTATAATTTATAGAACAAGTTGCTTGGATTTTGGGTGTGTTTTCGGATTCAGGGGAACGGGTTTTTCGCCATTGAGGGACTCTGGTCTCTGCGCAAACAACACAAGTCGTTTCCAAGTCTGAAATGCTAAATAGCCAGAGCCACACAGTCAGATGGGGTGCTCTCCGGCTGGAGGTTGGCTGCAACCTTATAAGAAAGCAAAAGTGTTGCCAAAGTCTTACAGAAAACCCGTTAGTACCCCTCCCTCCATCCGCCCGCTGTTGCCAAAGAAGAAAAAACAGAAGCAGCAGAAAAGAAAAGAAAAACATAAAACTGGCAAACGGAATAGAAATAGAAAGAGATTTGTGGTATGGCGCATAACTTTCACATGCCTTGGGTCTCTATAAGAAAATTGTACCGTTTGTTAAAGCTGCTGCTGACGACGACGACGACGACAACAACGATGGAGACGGCGATGACGATGAAATGGCACAAAAGAAAAGGCCAAGAGATCGTATGATGTTTGCTGCCCCAGTGGCTGTAGCGGCTGCTCTCACAGATAGCGAGAGTGAGTGAAATGTAGAAGTGAATGTTGTTTGATTTCTGTGATCTCTTTGATTTTGATTTCAGTTTAACTTTTGAAGAATAAAGGAAATCGCGCAATGGCTTTAGCCATTAGCTACACACACTTTTTGTATAGATTTTTCACTTGGTATAATTTCTGCTGCTTCACTCGAATGCGCCTGCGTGGCTCACTAATTTTCATAAATTTAGCTTCGTATTTGATTTCTTTTTCATTCATTTGATTTCTTCTCTTTTGCGCTTGGCTTTTTGGCTTACTTATAAGTATTAGCCGTGTGTTGGTTAGCCGTCGTTCGTACTCGTATATGTATATGGCTGCATAAAACGCTTTTAGCCAGATACCCACACGCACACACACACACACACCCACACACACACACAGTCTCAAACACACACACACACACACACAGAGAATACTACGCATGCGCGCACGTACCGTTTTGTAAGACGCAGACGTGATTATTATTTCTCTTTCTACCTTTTTTTTCCGTTTCGTTTCGATCCGCGACCAAGCTCTTTTCGGGTTCGTTGTCTTCGCCAAACTGAATTGAAGTCTTTCGTTTTTGCCCATTGGAAGTGGCCGTCGTCGCTGTCGCTGTCGCTTTGACTGGAAATGAATTTTTATGAGAGCCGTTTTTACTGGGACTGTTGCCTGGCTATTACTTGTTTTTGGCTGGTGCTGTGCAGCGTTTCGGTGAGTGGTAACGGTACGAGTAGGCTGGCTGGAAGTCCTCCAAAAAAACCTGTGCTTATAAGCGACTATCAAGATTTATATCTTAAAATCCTTCTACTATGAAATAAAGTAAAAGTTTTTATCCTCTCATGTATGATATGATATGTATGATAATTGATAAAATGTCTTTCATATAGGGAATACATTTGCCATATTGTATTCCACTACAATCCAAAGCTCCATCACTCTCCCACATTTGCCGTTACTCTCCAAAAAGTACCGCTTTAGGTTCTGTAGCCGTATCTCTCTCTCTCTCTCTCTCCCAATCCTTCATTCTCTCTTTTTCCATTGTGAATGTGTATGGGATTATAATTTGCATGCCTTTATTTCTTTCGTTTTTTGCGACAACTTTGGTCGAGGTCGTCTGGTTTCTTGTTTTATTTCTTACTTTTCTACAGCGCCGCTTTCTGTCGCGCCTTCGCTGCTCCAGTATTCCACTTGGAGAGCGGCGTTGCACTTGGAAGTCGCTGCCTGGAAAAGTTTAGAGAGCATGCGCAGCAGCGCCAAGCAAACAAGAGTAAAATAATTGTGGTAATGCTCTGGTAGAATGTAGTGTGTTAAGTGGAGTTCTACTCGATACTAAGAAACAACAAAAATAGGAATATAAAAGGTGTAATCAGTTAATTGAAATAAAATCGAATTACAGTTGAAAAGCTTCTAAAAGTAGGTACTATTTAAATAAATAAATTTGCGGGTTTATTTGAACTGAAAAATACTGAAAAAATATACGAAAATACTGATGAAGAATGTTTTGACATATAAGGTCGAATGGCAGCCCTCTGCGGCAGTCAAACTGACAGAGAAGAGAGCCGTATTCGATTGCCTGAATATATACCAGAATACATTTATCAGTGTCGAAAGTTCGCAGCGCTGCCAGATGTGGGGATGTCAAAAGTGGTATCGATCATATCGATTATTATTATTTAATTTGAAAAAAATGCGCCCAACATGAAATAAAAGTGACTTGTTGTATGGTAAAGTAAAAGAACAATGATACGAAATCAAATAAAACATCGAATAATTTTAGATGGAATATCTGGAAATGTTTATAAGGAATATTTGCTATATAATGCCATTTTAGCCAGTCGACTTTCGCCTCGAAAAGTTCATTTTCTGTCATAGTCCGGTCAAATATGAGGGATAAGATATATAGTTTAAGTTTATAAGATATAGTTAGCTCCACTAACTTTTTGAATCATTTGATGGCACAGACGCACAGATCGTGGTTCGTTGATCGTCGAACGTTTGTTCTACTTTGCAAGTTCGTGTCGTCACGTCCCACCTCCCGGCACCCAGGGCCCATTCCCCAATGGGAATTTTTTAGTAATACTTACACCCACTCGCATATCTCTGCGCACACCCCCAAAAAATTTCAAAAACAAACTTTAAAGTTTAAACACAAATTGTTCGGCAATTTATGAATACTCATTATTTTTTCAAACTTAACTATAATTTATTGTCTTCAAATACGTATTTTATTCAGAAATATTCAACCATGGGTTATATATTATTATACCCGTACTCAAAAAAGAGGTAAGGGGTATGTTAGACATGTGGTAAAAGTGGATGTGTGCAACGCAGAGAAGGAAACGTTTCCGACCCCATAAAGTATATATATTATTCTTGATCAGCATCAATAGCCGAGTCGATATAGCCATGTCTGTCTGTCTGTCTGTCCGTCTGTCCGTCTGTCTGTCTTGTTGAGCGCCTAGATCTCAGAGACTATAAGAGCTAGGGCAACCAAATTTGGTTTCCAGACTCATGTGATATCCCACTGCTACAAGTGTATTTCAAAATTTCGCCCCGCCCCCTTCCGCCCCCACAAAGATCGAAAATCTGTGGCAGGCACAATTTTAAAGATACGATAAAACTAAAAACGCAGTATCGTAGAGAAAAATACAAAATAATCAAACAAACATTATACTTTTAAGTTTTTATTTCAAATGAAAAAAACAAGGGAGCTGGCGTAAAAAAAAGGAGGGCCCCCAGATTGATCTCAAGACTCATATGGCGTCACTGCCATTTCAAATGACGGAATTTAAAAAAAACCAATTATATTACGTTACCCGTATTGTTGCCCTTATTTTGTTAATAAACACTCTAAAATTCTCAGCAATTACTCGCTAAAGCAAATATTTATGATGAAAATAAATTTAAAATTTTATGCGACAATTTTTAAAGAAATATTTTATTTATGTACAATAATGTGGTCTAGGGACTTTCCTTTTTTTTTTTTCTTAAACAAATCTTTTTTTCCACAGTTTTACAGTAAAAATTACATTTTAAAATTGTTTTGATTTTTTTTTTAATTTAGCTGGCATTAATTAAATATTTAACTGGTAAAAATTTAAGAAGAGCTTTTAATTTTTGTTGTTTTTTTCCCTATTAAATGTTGAAAAAATACCATATGAAAATTACAAAAATTTTACTTGAAAAACAGAAAAAAAAAATACTGCAAAAAAAAACGCCACAAAAAAAAAAAACGTTTAGCATTTTTTTTTGGTTATTTTGGGTTAAAAACTTGGCTAATATCCAATAACCGAACCCGTGCTTTCCCCCAACCGAAAGATACTAGATCAACCCAAAAGTATGCCATATATTTCAAACAAAATTCCATAGATTCTTAATAAATTTCAGCTTTTGTCAGTATGGCAAGCCGAATACTCAATATATACTCGATAGTCTGTAGTGCAAAGATATCGATCGTATCTCATAATTGTAGGCGCGAAGTTCAAATCGTGCTTTCTGTGTTGGCTACCAGAGCACTATGAGAAATTTGACCACTTTTTCTGGCCAAAATTAATATCTCAAGAACGGAGCAAGATATTTCGCTTATGTTTTTTGTCTCGGGTTGTCTCGGCGTGGCACCGCCCCTTTTTTAAAATTCATTTAAATTTTCTCATTTTTTTTAGAGTACTACTTTAACAAGTAACAACCATTTTGTGACAGTATTAGGTTATATATGTACAATTGTAAAAAAAAAAAAAAAAAAAAAAAAAAAAAAAAAAAAAAAAAAAAAGAAAAAAAAAAAAAAAAAAAAGAAAGAAGGGGGGGGAAAAAGAAAGGAAAAAAAAAAAAAAAAAGATAAAAAAATTTTTTTTTTTTTTTTTTTTTTAAAGTTTTTATAATTAAATTTGGAAAAAAAAAAAAGAAAAAGAAAAAAAAAAAAAAAAAAAAAAAAAAAAAAAAAAAAAAAAAAAAAAAAAAAAAAAAAAAAAAAAAAAAAAAAAAAAAAAAAAAAAAAAAAAAAAAAAAAAAAAAAAAAAAAAAAAGGAGGGGGAAAGGTTTAGGAGGGGAAAAAAAAAAAAAAGGAAGGAGGAAAAAAAAAAAGGGAAAAAAAAAAAAAAAAAAAAAAAAAAAAAAAAAAAAAAAAAAAAAAGAAAAAGAAAGGGGGAAAAAAAAAAAAAAAAAAAAAAAAAAAAAAAAAAAAAAAAAAAAAAAAAAAAAAAAAAAAAAAAAAAAAAAAAAAAAAAAAAAATGGGGGGGGGGGGGGGGGGGGGGGGGGGGGGAAAAAAGAAAAAAAAAAAAAAAAAAAAAAAAAAAAAAAATTAAAAAGGGGGGGGGGGGGGGGGGGGGGGGTGGAAAAAAGAAAATAAAAAAAAAAAAAGAAGAAAAAAAGGGGGGGGGGGGGGGGGGGGGGGGGGGGGGGGGGGGGGGGGAAGGAAAGGGGGAAAAAGGGGGGGGGGGGGGGGGGGGAAAAAAAAAAAAAAAAGTTGGGGAAAAAAAATAGAAAAGGGAGGAAAAAAAAAAAAAAAAAAAAAAAAGAGGTGGGAGGGAAAAAAAAAAATTAAAAAAAAAAAAAAAAAAAAAAAAAAAAGGGGGGGGAGGGGGGGGGGCTGGGGGGGGGGGGGCAAAAAAAAAAAGTTTTTTTTTTGGGGGGGGGGGGATTAATATGTGGGTTGGAGAAAAAAGGGGTAGGAAAAAAAATAAAAAAAAATAAAAATAAAAATAAAGTTAAAAAATTCATGTTAAAAGGATCTTTTAACAGGATATTGACTTAAAATACCGAGCTCGCTAGGATTGTTTTTACGGAAAAATCGATTGGCCGTGGCCAACTCCAAAAAAAAAAAAAATTTAAAAAAAATTTTATGGGGAAAAAAAAAAAAATTTGGGAAACCCCCAAATCCGTGAACCAGAGCCAAGTTTTAGCAAGTGGTCAAACAGGTTTAAGGAATGAAAACCATTGTAAAAACTACAAATTAAAGCCAAGAAACATGAGAACATCAGATATATGTTTTTATTTGCCCTTTTTTTTTTTTTTTTTTTTTAAAAAAAAAATACTATTTATGAAAGCATATTTGGGTATCGGCATATTAAAACAAGAAGATGGAATGCAAGTAAGGGGTTTTGATTGTAATTCCGGGCTTGAAGG